ATCCCTTATATAAATGGGCAAGAGACATGAATAGAACCTTCTCTAAAGAAGACAGATGAATCTGGAAGGTGCCTGTGGCTCAAAGGAGTAGGGTGCCAGCCCCATATACTGGAGGTGGTGGGTTCAAACCTGGCCCTGGCCAAAAAAAACTGCAAAAAAGAAAAAAACAAGACAGACGAATGGATGATAAACATGAAAAATGCTCATCATCTTTAATTATTAGAGAAATGCAAATCTAAACCACCCCAGGATATCATCTAACCCCAGCAAGAATGGCCCACATCACAAAATCTCAAAACTACAGATGCTGGTGTGGATATGGAGAGAAGAGAACAGTTTTACACTGCTGGTGAGACTGCAAACTAATACAATATTTTTGGAAGGAAGTATGGGGAACCCTCAAAGAACTCAAGCTAGACCTCCCATTTGATCCTGTAATTCCATTACTGGGCATCTATCCAGAAGGAAAAAAATCCTTTTATCTTAAGGACACTTGCACTAGACTGTTTGTTGCAGCTCAATTTACAATCGCCAAAATGTGGAAACAGCCTTAATGGCCACCAATCCAGGAATGGATTAACAAGCTGTGGTATATGTATATCATGGAATACTATTCAGCCATTAAAAAAATAGAGACTTTACAGCCTTGGTATTAACCTGAATGGAAGTAGAACACATTATTCTTAGTAAAGCATCACAAGAATTGAAAAGCATGAATCCTAGTACTCAATTTTGATATGAGGACAATTAATGACAATGACACAGTAGAGGTGGGGGAAGGGGAGAGCAGAGAGAGTAAGGAGGAGGGAGCAGTAGGGAAAGGAAGAGCAGAGAGAAGGAAGGAGGGGGAGTGAGGTCTTGGTGTGTGTCACACCTTTTGAAGGCAAGACATGATTTTAAGAGGGAGTTTACCAAACAAATGCAATCAGTGTAACCTGGTTTCTTGTACCCTCAATGAATTCCCAACAATTAAAAAAAAAAGAAAGAAAGAAAGGAACACATTCACATGGTTCACTATTTGGACCAGGCACAAAAGAGTTAAAAGAAAAAACTAGAAATGATCCTTGGCAATTTAAAAGAGAAAAATTAAAAATTGTTATTAAAAATAATGAGAAAATCTAGATTATTAAAAGATTAGAAATATGGGGCTACTGATTTCACTGATCTCAAATGCTTAAAGATCTAGTATATGAAGATTCCTATCTATTTGCCCACCTTTGTAGGAACAGAACTAGAGAAAAAAATGAATTTAACTTGCATTAATTTAATATGTAATAAATTATGTGAAATAAAATTAAATAATATATATTAAATTTATAAAGTAGAAAGACTTCACTGACATCAAGAAAACGTTTTCAATAGCAAAATAAGAAATTATAATAATACTAATATTGCTGAGTACCTCCATTTGTCAGAATCTGTTTTGAGGGCTCTGTGCACACACACACATTAACTCCTGACAACATCACAAATCCCATGAGGTAGGAGGTGCTTTTTTTTCTTTTTTTGAGACAGTCTCACTATGCCTTGGTATAGTGCCATGGTGTCACAACTCACAGCAACCGCCAACTCTTGGCCTAAGCGATTCTCTTGCCTCAGTCTCCTGAGTAGCTAGGACTACAAGCGCCCACCACAATGCCTGGCTATTTTGTTGTAGTTGTCATGGTTGTTTTGGCATTTCCAGGTTTGAACCCACCAGCCCCAGAGCATGTGGCCAGTGTCCTAATCTCTGAGCTATGGGCACCAAGCTGTAAGTGGACTTAAACCCAGAGTCCACCATGATGCCTAGGCTCTTACCTACTATTGTGGAACCACTTTGATTAAAAGGAAATTAACATTTTAATAGGAACTAACACCTCCTGGACCAGAAAATCCACTGTCCTTCCATCATCAAAAAAACTGAAGACAGGATGGGCATTTATCAGAGAAATGCAAGTCTCACACTCCCTGATGTGTGATGACATTAGTCATCTGATTCTATTCAAGTATCAGTCACTTTCTTACCTTCGTCCTTTCTCTAACAGGATACTTTCCAATGATTTATAAAACATAAATATCTTGTTGATTAATATGGACAAAAGCACAATGATATATGTCGTAGGGAAACTTAATACCTTTTTTCTTTTTGATCTTTAGGGCTTTCTTTAAATAATTCATAATGACCTTGTAGACTTAAAAATCTTTTTTATTTAATACAATTTTGTTTATGTTCTGAAAACCAAGGACACTGAGTGCTCCCTACTGAACAGACAGCATCGTGTACATTTCTTTGTTCTCTGACCGCCTGTCTGCCTTCTCAGGCCCCAGGGTGTGGGCCTGCTCCACACTGCCCTCTATAGGAGGTCAGGTGATGTGCTCTGACAGGTGTGTGTCGGAATAATACCCCAGTTTCCTTAGCCCCTGGTTCCCTTCACACTGCCATTTCTATGATTCCTTTTTGGCTGAGTCCATGGAGAAAACAAGAAGTAATTAATCTTTGTGCTAGGAAAGAGAACCTGAAAAAGGCAAGGTTCTCATGTGAGAAATCACAAAGTGAAACAGTGCCAGTCTTGGAATTCCAGGCCAGATCTATTGGTTATGGCAGAAAGTTAAAAGCAGTGGTTCTTAACTGTGGAGGACTTTGTCCCCTCTCTTTAGAAATGTCTGGAGACATTTATGGTCACAGATGCTGAGGGAAGGAGTTTGCCACTGGCATCCAGCTGCTAGAGGCTCGAGGTGCTAGTGAACACCCTGCAATGCATGGGACACAAAGGATGATCCAGGGTCAGTGACCTTGTACTGAGGAGCCTGCTGCAGACAGAGCAGTGGATGTGGCCTTGACCCTGCTTCACACCTTTCTTTATGACCCTGGGAAGGTGGCTAGAGAATCTGCTTTCTCGTTTGAATGAACAAAACCACCCCCTCCACACCCATAAAACAAACAGACAAAACCCCAAAACTGCATTTTAGGGTAGTTGAGAGAAATCAACCCCAAAGCACTGAAAACAGCACTGAGCTTGATGAGCTGGACCCCAGAAACAACAGTCAGGGAACATCCCAGGGAGCCCAGAAGGGCAACATCTCTGAAATGAAGGAGGCCCCAGATTAACAGCTTTAATATGAAGAAGAAAGAGATGGAGACAGGTGTGAGAGAGTGAGCATTGGGACATGCTAGGAGGGGGAGCAGATGATGAAACTGAAAACAGGAAGTAGTGGGAGAGCTGGATAAGTGAAGGGGATTTCAGCAGTAACTTGGAGATGAATTGGAAAGATATTCAGGAGAAATCCAAACAACTTGCTGGGAAATTTAAAAGGGATCATGAGAAACAAGTCTAGGATGGATACTAGATTTCCAACTTCGATGCTTGGGTGTTGGTTGGTGATGCCATTCAATAATACAATGGACTCAAAGGGCAGTGAAGATGATAACTGAGCTGTGTGGATGTCAACGTTTGGAGAGCCTGTGGGACACAGGGGTGACAATCAGGGGGCAGCAAGAGATGGAGGTCTGGGAAGGTGCCACAGTTCTGAGAATCAGGATCCAGAGAGAAGGAGGTGAATCTGTTGAGGATGAGTGCTATTTTATAGGGGGAGCATGGAGAGCAAGAAAAGAGCTCCCTTTGTCTGAGAGCTGGACAGAGACAACTGAGATGGAACAATCACAAGAAACAGATGAGGAAGGAAAGTAGGACTGTTTGAGAGTCAAAACTGAATGAGCTTTGGGAACGCAGGGCAGCAAAGTGTCAAATGTCATAGGAAAGCTAAATGAGATCCAAAGTGTCCAGAAGATCTGGTAGTTGGGTTGCAGTGCTAACTGTAGCATGGAAAGTTGAGTACTACGATGAGCAGAAAAACTATATTGAGTTGAGTACATAAGAGTGGAAGTAGAAATAAGGATAGGGAGATTGTCAGAAAGATGGGCTATGAAATATCTCTCTGCAATACTTAACCGCATTTATATGCTGACAGGAAGGGGATAGTGAAGGCTGACAATACAAACTACAGAACAGGGAAAATGGATAGATCAAGAATGGGATACAGGGCTGGAATGATTATTTTGAGGCAAGAAACCTTTCCCTCTAAACTGGATAAAGAAGATAAATCACTGGGATCAGGAATGCGGGCTCATACCTATAATCCCAGCACTTTGGGAGGCAGAGGTGGGAGGACTGCTGAAGGTCAAAAGTTTGAGACTAGACTGGGCAAGAGCAAGACCCATCTCTACAAAAAAAAGAAAAATTAGTCAGAGTGGTGGTGGGTACCTGTTGTCCTAGCTACTCAGGAGGCTGAGGCAGAAGGATCACTTGAGCCCAGGAGTTTAAGGCTCTGATGAGCTCTGATGCCACAACACTCTAGCTGGGGTAAAAGAGTGAGACTGTTTGAAAAAGAAAATAAGTTGAGTGCAAACATCAGCCAGTCTGGAGGGCGAGGGAGAATGAGTTGAAAGAAGTTTGTATATGGAGGGCTTCATTTTTCACTGTCAAATTATAGGCAAGCTCAGCTGTGGACGTGGGAACTAAGGGGAGGTAAGGGTAGTAACTCTTAAGGATTGGGAAGGGGTGTCAGTAAACAAGAGAGTGAGTAGCAACAACTTCAAAACCCGCACATGATGGACATCTCACAGCCCCAGGATTGCTCTAGCATCCTCCTCTGCTGCTTTCCAGATCAGTCATGCAGCCCACTCACCTCCAGAAGGGAGAAGTGAACTAGAAAGCCCTTGCCAACCACAGAATTGTTTGAGACTAAGGTAGTGTGTGTGTGGGGAATGATCAACCAAGTTTTAAACTGAAGTAGGTGTGAGATCTGTTACCTCCATGGACCAGTCCACCACGTAGCAAAGTGAGGATGGCCTGCAGGGTTCTCAGAGTGCCTTCAGCATTCAGAGTGGTTACGGTGCAGACATCAGAGTTTATAAACCCTCCAATAAAACAGTAGAAATGATCAATAGAATAGAAACAAATGAATTGTGAAGAAATTTTTTTCTTTTGCAGAGTCTTGTGTTTTTTTGAGCCTAAGTTATGATGAGTTAGATGTTCCTCAGAGATCTCCTAAGTGGAGTAAACAAATACTCCACTGGGTTTGGGTAGATCTGGCTGGCTGTTATGTTCATCTTTCAGTTGCTGGTCTATATGGTGGCAGCAGAGCACGTGTGGAAAGATGGGCAGAAAGAGTTTGAGTGTAGCATCAGATGGCCTGGCTGTGAAAATGTGTGTTTTGCCTACTTCTTCCTTGTGTTCCAGGTCACACTCTGGGCTTTTCAGCCGATTGTGGTCTCTATGCCTTCACTTCTGGTTGTGCTGCACCTCACCTACGTGAGGGGAGAGAGAAAAGCCACAGAAGGGAACTCTGAGTCAGCCCTGGGCAGGACAGGGCCTATGGTGAACTTACCTTATCAGCCTCACCATCAGAACTGGTTTTGAGATTGACTTCCTTGTTTTATTTTACAAGCTGTATGATGGCTTTCCTGTCCCCTACCTTGTGAAGAGTGATCTGAGGCCTTGCGCCAACTGCTTCATCTCCAAACCCACTGAGAAAACCATCTTCATCCTCTTCTTGGTCAGCACCTCATGCCTGTGCATTGTGCTGAATTTCATTGAGCTGTGCTTTTTTGGTTCTCAAGTGCTTTATAAAGTGCTGTCTTTAAAAATATTCTAAAAAACCCAAGTTCTCAGTTTGTGAGTGCCACCACCTCAGATACTTTGAGTGTTGTGACACAGAGGCTCCTCCCAGGTTCAGAATCACCACTGGCCATAAGCACATCCCAGCAACCTGGAGCCAGGCTGCTTTGTGGTACAGAAGAAAGTGGTGTAAACAGAGCCCACCCTCCCACACAGGCCCTGCTGGGCTGAGAGACCAAGGGTGTCATCCTTGGCATCACTGGGAGGGTTCTCCAAGCTGTGGGCATGCTCTCAGCCATGAGCACATGATGCTGCTTCCTTGCCCGGCTTTCCATTCTGTGAACACCTCAGTTGTTTCTGAATATTAATGGCAAATTAGTCTGAAGAAATCCAAGTTACAGTGTTCTTTTAAGAACTTAGATCTGTCAGAAAGGAAAGAAACTATGTCAGTTTTCCAGTTTTTATAACTGACTGTCTCATTACAATTCATGCTTATGAACTGGAAAATATAGAAGTGACAATTCTGTCAAATGTGATCACCTCAAAGCTGAACTGGAAGCTCCAACCATCTTTCCAAAGTGGCATCCAAGGCTCCATTCTCACTCTCACTCACCCTCCATAGAGAAGAACTATGTTGCAGGGCAGGGCTGCAGCTGACTGGGCACACAGCCCTACACTCAGTGGGGAGACCCAGCCTGAGGGAGAGGCCACCTCAGCCCAGGCCTGCCAGGTTAGGTGCCATTGGCTATAGGGGTGGGGGGGAGGGAAGAAAGTCACCAGGTAAGTGGTCTCCACGTTGAGTACAAGCCTAGCGGGAGGTTCCCACTCAAGTCTGAACAAGCAGACTAGTGAAAGGGTCAAGTGGCAGGCGGGTCCCACAGAAAACGGTTCACAGACAGGGAACAATGGAAGCCACAGAAAAATAATGTGCTCACTTTGTAACTTCTTAGCACTTCCCTTTAACTATAAGAACACTGTACTATTTAAAAAAATTTTTGTATTGAATCTTTTATATTCAGGAATTTACAATGTGCTGTATGTAACAGTTTGCCTACACTTTACCCGTTTCTTTCTAGGACAGATAATGAAATGTGTACTATGTTGTTACAGTGGTGCAAACAATGGTAAAAAATGTCACTACTTATTTTGAAGACTAGAACTTTCTTCTACTTTTCTATTTTTTTAAATTCACAAATACAGCCTCTTTAAATTTAACACTATCATATGTGCCTTTCTCCAGAGTAACAATGAAAGTGTTTTGCTTTGTTTTTTAGCTGTCATTTACAACTTTACTCGACTTCACAGGGTATGATTATTCTGTGAAATAAAACTCTAGTTCTTACACTTTTGGAGCAGGATTTGCAACACTGCTTGGTAAAGATAGTTCAGAAATCATTCTTTTCCCCTGGTAATTTCATAACAAAAAAGTGCATAAAAATGTAATTTTAATGAAAACCAATTATGTTATGTTTTCCATGCACTTCCCTCTTAAGAACAAAATGTCTCATTACAATTCACACACAATAAAGGTTATGTGGATCATTATGGTCCCCAGACCATGTCACCAACAGTTGTCATAAACTCTGTTTTAAAGACTGGCCCACAAAACAGAAAGGTGAACTTTGTGGGTTTTTTCCTTTCTTTAACTTGTACCACAGAACCACTGCTGGACTTAACAGGCTTATAACCAGGTGCTTCACCATGACACCTAGACTTCATGAGTGCAAGTAACCATAAATTTATTTATTTATTTTTTTGACAGCAATAGGCATTAAAGCAGCTTAAAGTTTTTGAGTCCTTGATCACAGCATGGAATTTAGGAAACAGATTTCAGTGTGCAGAACTGGAATGAAGATAAGGGACTTTTTTGGTCTAAGGATAAGTTTGGTGCCAAAAGTGTTTAGGGTGGGGGAGCTCAGTCTCTTGCAGTTTACAACAAGTGCTGCCCTACTATAGAGGTCAGGTTGCTTGAGCATGTGCATTCTTTGCATTTGCACTTTCCACAGAGAAGAAACCACAAGGTAATATGAGAAAAGGCAATGGAAATACAGATGTTTAAAATAGAAAGGTAAACGATTTTTATGTCTATAAGTTTTTTTGGTAGTATCTTAATTTGCAAAACAATTTTCTTGTAAGCCTTTATTCTAAAGGCTTTCTTGGTGTCAGTGAAGACTCAAAGCATTTGGAGAGAAATTGGCAGTTAATTTGTCTCATTGTTATTGTTTCTCATATTAATAAGTATTGAGTACTGGGATCAAGACCCTGTGCCCTGCACCTGGTGGGATGTAATGCATAGTTCCTGCTTGAGAAAGTGCCTACTTCCTATGAGGACCATGGAAGGAAAGGAAGAGTACCTTACACCTGTGTCCTGCTCTCATTGCATCACCTCACCTTTTCCACGCTGAACCAGATAGCAGACAGCAACCTCAGAGGGAGAGGCAGCTACTTTTGTTAGCTCCATGCAGCTAGTAGAGGTCACTGACCTTACATCACTTTCTCAGCACACCAGCCTTTCCAGATCACTGAACAGAGGTCTTCTTAATTCTCATCACTCCTGACTGCAGTGACTACTGGGCACCTGGCCCTACAGTCCTTCTGGTCACAGACGTTGCTTCTGGCCACAGACTTTCTTCTCCTTGGAGCTGGTAGGAAGTTTTTGAAGTGCTGTTATGAAAGAATGCAAGAATGCAAGAGACCATGGTTCCAGTCTTCCCCTGGGAACAAAGCCCATGCAGAAACATTATGAAGATGAAAGAGGGAAAAGGCAAAGACTTGGATTCTTCAATCCCGTTGTCCCCAAGTCTGGCTCTACCTCTGACCTTTCTGTAGTTATGTGAAAGATAAATTCCTTTTTGTGTCAGCTGGTTCAAGTTGGACTTCTGTCTTGCAACTGAGAATCCTGGTAAAGCCAACTTCCTCAAAAACTTCTTTCCTGTAACTAGCAGAGAAAGGCAGGACATTTTTCTTGTACCCACTATAAGTATCAATGCTCCTAACCATTATATATGTGCACCTGTTTGTGTAATTGGAGGGCTTGGGAAGGTTCTCAATCTTCCTACTGCCACCCTTTAATACAGTTCCTCATGTTGTGGTGACCCCCAACCATAAAATTATTTTCATTGCTACTTCATAAATGTAATTTTGCTACTGTTATGAATTGTTATGTAAATATCTGATATGCAGGATGGTCTTAGGTGACCCCTGTGAAAGGGTTGTTCAACCCCCAAAGGTGTCATGACCCATGGATTGAGAACCGCTGTGGAAGGATCTCAACACTGGTTACCATACAGGGAGAGTGAACGATCTTTTCTCTATAAATCTTTCCTTTGGCATTACTTTTGTTAAAATTTTAGTAAATAAAGTAACGTGAAAGCCCATAGTGCCCTCTTTGTTCTAGCTCACATCCCATCCCCTCACATACACGCAATGTTTTCCCTAAATATCCATGCAGTGTATTTTACTTTGTTTGGCTACTTAATACTACACCAAGTACAAAAGAGGGGCATGTCACAGCTCTTTAAAGAACTGATTAGAAAAGCAAGCAGCAGCAGAGGAGCCCATAGGGGCAAAAGAAATGTCAGCATCCAACCGGACCTGAGAAGACCTGATGGGATATTCTGGTAGAGGCCTAAGACAAGTTCTTTCTGTGATATAAATGAGGCTTTTTTCCACAAATCTTCTCCCAGTTTTAAAAGATACTGGTGATTGTGGGGAGTTCTGCAAATTTTCCAAACACCATTTTGTTTCGGCTTTTCTATCCTGAGATGATTATCTCGTATAATACTATAGAGTCCCCAGATGCTGTTTCACAGCAGAGTGAAATGAGTTCTGGACTTTACCTACATGTCAGCATGGGTGACGGTAAAAAATCAGGCTCTGGCAATATCAGCCATACTAGCTTCATAGTGCATGGCTGGACACTTTCTGGACAACCCCGCCTACGGTTGCACAGGGGTAGGAGGCCACCAGCTGGCACTAGAGCTATGTGGTTATGGTCTGGAAATGGAACCAGAAATTACACTACCATTATTTTGTATTTATACTCTATAAGGTACGTGGGCTAATATGTGGTATTCATTTATATTCTTAATACATTAAAGTACAGCTTTTAAACATTGGGAATGACTACGACACATTAGTTATGGGTCCCTTTTAAGATAAACAGACCAGCCTTTATAATAGAAATAGAGGAAAGTAGGGTGCTGGCCCCATATACCAGAGGTGGTGGGTTCAAACTCGGCCCTGGCCAAAAAACAAACAAACAAACAAAAAAAAACAACAGACCAACCCACCTGGCACAGACTGTACACTTTTTACCTTATCTGATAGGGTTAAAAAAAAAAAAAAAGCTAATACAGTTGACCATTACACACATATACCAGTATTCCAAGGACTTTTCAAACAATTTTGTACAGGAAATTTCTGGAAGACTAAATTTGGAGTTTAAAACTGAATTCTTGCTGTTACTTCATTTAACATTGGGTAAGTCATTGTATCATTCTAGGTCAGTGTTTCTCAACTTTTTATTTCACAGCACACTTGAACCTATAGTAAAACTTCCTCGGCATGCCTCAATTTTGTTGATTCAAAAAAAGAGTAGAAAAAAGAATATACTTATTATGCTTTACACTTTTTTTTTTTTTTTTGGCAGTTTTTGGCTCCAGCATATGGGGCTAGTGCCCTACTCCTTTGAGCCACAGGCGCCACCCTGACTTCTTTCAAAAATAATTTTATTAGGCAGCACCTGTAGCTCAGTGAGTAGGGCGCCAGCCCCATATACTAAGGTGACCAGACGTCCTGCTTTTGGCGGGACCGTCCCAATTTTTAACAATTTGTCCCACATCCCGCGGTGTTAAAAAAGTCCCAATTTTTGGAAAGGATGCACAACAAACTAGGGAATGGCAGGAGAACAGGAAGGGAATATACAGTTTTTGACTGCCATGTGGCTATTTTGCCAGGATATGAGTTTTATTTTTGTTAATTTTATAATGTTAAACTTTAATAATAACAAATAATTGTTGAGAACTGATTATCAAGAACTGCTTATCAAGTTTGCATTGTTGATCAGTTGTTAGAATTCGACCACCATTGTTTGGACTTAACGAACAATGGCATTTTTTGGCATTGGCAACCACGAAAATGTTTTGTAACTGTCTCTCAGACGATACACATCGTACTGTGTGCTAGTGCTAGTTAAACAAGTGATGTCAACAAATCAGCTATTCAGATAATTTAGGTAATTTATTTA